AGTGTGTGACACTCCCCCTAGAGCAGGGGAACCTCAGGGCACAGCAAGGAGAGGGGGAGCTAGATCCTAAACCATGTAGAATAATGGTAAATGTATTAAAGATAAAATTAAAGTAAATAATATTATCACAAAAGAATAGTTGTGACCTGGGAAAGCCCTGGATTCTCCAGTAAAAACATCAGTAACTCTGTCCTTACGCAGGGCAGCGGAGCTGGGGCAGCACTTTGTCCTTCGGGTTACACAAATGTCATCAACTCATTGTCCCCAGCCTTCTCCAATAGTAATTAGAGCGGGAGCTGGTAGTGACTCCCAATATGGAGGTTGCTTCACACTTTCTATTATAAAATATTCTCAGCACCTTCTTGAGAAGCTCTCGCACCTTCCTTGATTGCTGGAGCCTTTGTAATTTGGGAAGGGGTCAGTGCTGGAGCCAGGGAGCTGCCTTCTCCTAGTGCAGTGAGATTCCTTCCAGATCTGGCTGAATTATAAATTGCTGAAAATCACCATTTCCCTTCTCTCATGTGAGTTCCTGCGGATATTTTTGGTAGCACACCATAGAAAAAGTAGTGCTATCACTCACTTAGTTTTCTCTACTTTCTTCACATCTTTCCAATTGAAAAATCTCAAAAGATTTTTTCCCCTGCTTTCTTATACTTTTACTTTTTTCTAACTTTTTACAGTGGAAGAAAAGATGAAAAAAATAGAAAGGGGGAGGAAGTGGCAAACCTGTAAATCCAAAAACTGGAAAATTGAATGTTTCATTTTCCAAAAGTTGAAATAAATCAAAATTTTAGTTAGAATCTAAACAAAAATTCTCATTCCATTTCCACAGGCCAGTATCTCAGATCTGTTTAAAAATTGAAATACTGCATTCAAAATACTTCACGGGAAAAATTTTGGGTTGTTGACCCGCTCTAATATTTACCTTTTATAAATTTTTTTTAAAAATTAAACACCGTTAGTTAATTTAGTCAAAGGCACAAGATGTAACAGCGTTAAGGTTACCTATGTAATGTTAATTCAGCCCCTCACCCTCCCTTGTGCATATACATTATGATACAGTCTAATTGCATGCACACGTCCTATTATTCTCACCTACCCCCAGCTCCTGCCTCCTTCAGCGTACTGGGAGGATGGTGCTCAGGGGACGGGGGAAGCAGTTGAATATTTATTTTTTATCCTCATCATTCAACATGTGATCCAGGGTCTTATTTACCATAGAATATATGGAGATATACATATCTCATAGAACTGGAAAGGACCTTGAAAGGTCATTGAGTCCAGTCCCCTGCCTTCACTAGCAGGACCAAGTACCATCCCTGACAGACGTTCCGCCCCCCCCCCCCCCGATCCCTAAATGGCCCCCTCAAGGATTGAACTCACAAGCCTGGATTTAGCAGGCCAATGCTCAAACCACTGAGTTATCCCCCATACTGTACAAACACTGCACTGAATACAAAATTATTAATTTCTTCATGGGCTTTTCTGTGGTGCTCGTCACCGTAGTAGGAGAATGCACCACGAGCATGAATGAATTCGTCTTCATAACACCCCTGGGAGATAGCAGACTCTTATGATGCGCATTTCAAAGGTGACTTAGGCACTTAGTAGTCCAAGAATAACATTTTCCAAAATGCCTAAGTGACTTAGAGACTTAAATCCTATTTCCTCCAGTAACGTAGGAGCCCAAGACCATGCAGACTTCTCCCTCTTGCTGCCTAAGTCACTTCTGAAAATGGCACTTAGGCTTCTACATCATTTAGCTGCTTTTGAAAATTTTACATACAATGATTAAAGCCAAAATTCCAAACTTGGAGGGATTGGGCAGTAACCTGAGACCCTCAGGGCCTGATTCTTCAGAGTACTCACCATTTCTGCAGAGCTTTGTGTGTTCAAAGAACTGTCCAGACATTAATAAACCCTCACAAAACTCCAGGGAAGCAGGTGGGTAAGTATTATTATTAGTTCCACTTTACAAATGGTGAAACAGAGAGAAAAGCAAAGTGACTTGCCCAAGGCCACCCAGTGAGTTAGCAGCAGAGACAGGATAAACCAAAGTGTTTTGCCTCAGAGCCCTGTGCTCGTTCCACCCGACCCCACTGCCTGGCTGCAGAAGAGCTGAGCAGCCACATCTTGTCTTGACCCTAGTGGCAGTTGTGAGTGCTCAGTACTTCTGCAAATCACACCCCATAAAAATGGGCTTAAGAGACCTGCTCAGCATCACCTGTGAAATCTGTGGCAGAGGCAGGAGCAGAACTGAGCTCTACTGAATGACGGTCACTGCTCTTAACAAGATCATCCTAGTTCTTCCTGCGCTCCCCTGCTCATTCTCTACAGGCCATCCAGTTTCTAAAGTGAATGAGGCAGAAGTCCTGAATTTCAACCTTCTCCGTAAGAATGCACACGTAGCTTCCAGGACTGTCTCCCACAGAGCCCAGAGTCACTGGTGCCATTACACACCATAACTAAGGCTATGTCTACACTACAGGATTAATCCGAATTTAGATAATTCGAATTTGGGAAACAGGTTGTATAAATCCGATTGTGCGCGGCCACACTAAGCACCTTAATTCGGTTTTAAACCACATTAATTCGGTGGTGTGCGGCCACACTACCCCATTAACTTAAACACAGTAATTCGGTGGTGTGCGTCCACACTAACCCTAATTCGAATTAACAAAATCGATTTAGGCTCTACTCCGTTCGTCGAGGTGGAGTACAGAAATCGATTTAAAGGGCCCTTTAATTCGAATTAACTGGCTCTGTAGTGTGGACGGGTGAAGGGTTAATTCGGATTAAGGCAGCTAAATCCGAATTAAAGTCCTAGTGTAGACCAGGCCTAAGCCTATAGGGCCCTGCCCAGCACTCACAACAGAGGTCTACTCTCTTCTTCACAGCTGATACCTTTGTACCTTGGGGGCAATTCACCTCACAGTTCTGCTTCTCACAGATGCTGCTTCCTGCATTCCTAACTGAATTCCCTGCAGCCCTGACCTGCCCCTCCTAACTAGCTACCCAGCCCATCCCCTGGTTCTCGGAGGGAACTCCTCAGCACATGAAGATGCTGATTTCTCCCTACAGCTACTGGAAGGAGAATCCCTTCTAAGGAAAAAACAACTGGTCCCTTCCGTACGAGCTCCATCTGCCATGATCCCATCTGGCCTTCCTGAGGGGCTGTGGTACCAGTTATATCCATGAGCCTCCTTGGAAAGCCCCAAATCTACTCTCTACCCTCACACTACACTAGTGGCATAGCTAAGACAGGAAACCTGGGTGGGCCTCAGCTTTTGGGGGTGGGCAGTGATGGAAGGGGCAAAGGGAGGGGTGCAGGAGGGATCCAGTGCCCTGGGGAGGGGTCAGGACAGACGGGGAGCTTGCATCCCTCCCCCCCTTCCAGTCGACACCCAAAGCTGAGGCTTCCCAGGGCACACAGGCTGCGGGGTGTGCTTACGGTAACCAGATAGCAAATGTGAAATATTGGACAGGTGGTGGGAGGTAATAGGCACCTATATAAGAAAAAGCCACAAATATCAGGACAGTCCCTATAAAATCGGGACATCTGGTCACCCTAGGTTTACCCTTTGGGTAAAGGGGGGTCCCGCTGGGGCTCGAGCTCCACCCAGCCTTCCCGACCCTGGCTCAGTGTCCGTCAGCCCAGCCGCGTCCCTTTCCTCTCGGCACCGGGACCTGACACAGCCAGTGGGTGTGCCCTGAACTGACTCTGCTGCTTGTCTTTTAACATTGTCAGTCTCTCCTGGCTGCACTTGGGTCTGAACTCGGTGAGTAATTCCTAACTTACCACCTTGCTGTCCGACTCACTGATTCTGAGACACACGCAAAGACTGAGATTCACATCCCAAGGAAGTCACAATATTCACCAACAGAGAATGTCCCTTCCCCGCTCCACACACAACCTCCTTAGTGTGGTGTGAATTGATCAGCTGGAATCTCACGTTGGGCTCAGAGATCACACCACACTTCAGGGGACAGCTCCCGTCAGAACCACCAGTGCCAGGAACTATCTCACACTGGGAGCTCCTGCACTGGACCCAGGGGAACCAAGAAATTTGCCACCTACCAAGCAAAGTTCAGAGGGAACTAAGGGAATTTACCAACAATAACCTGTTCCTGACCACCATGAACCCTGCTCTTCCATTGGCCAAACTCCCTCAAGGCAAACTTTCCTAAACCATGCACGACCCACCTGCTAAGTGCTTGTCCAGACACTATTCACTGGCTTCCAGGCATTTAAGACTGGATAAAGTGACTAAAAACCTCAGCAGCCATTCCACCCCCCACAGAGACTATTTTCCCAATCAGTAATCTGCAGGAATTCCCTCACTCACTCATTTACAGGGTCTGCTAGCAAGCCCTTCTGTCAAGCTCAGAGGTTTGCAATCCTTATAGCACCTTCCACGTAGAGATTCAAAAGAATAAGTGTCTTCTGACAGAGGTTGTTCCCTTTAACACTGTGATGCACTCTGATCACTGGCTTATACCTTCTTATTGAGAAACAGTCCATAATTTCATGCACACTCTGTATTATTTCTAGTGTATAACAGGGAATGTTATTCAGTGTATTTCCCATCTCTCCTGAGCCCAGGTCGCTCTGAATCACTCAGACTGCTGAATGGAGAGAGCCGGTGCGATGGGAGAGTTGAGATTTCCCTCCGTGGTGTGTGGAGCAGAGTGCTGGATGACCAGTGGGACATGGATGATGCCAGCGTGGTGTGCAGACAGCTCCAGTGCGGAGTCGCTGAGAAAGCTTATAACCCCCCTAAGTCTGAGCGAGGAACAGGCCCAGTGGGGCTGAGAAGTGTCCAGTGTGCAGGAAACGAAACTTGTCTGAGTCTCTGTGACAAATCCATGTCTGAGACAGCCCAGGCAGGAATTGCTGAGGACGTCGGTGTCGTTTGCTCAGGTGATTCATTTCCAAATCTCACAAACATTCTCTGTTCAGTAGGAAAATACATATTAACAGCTGGGATCTATCCCTGCAGGAAGCCGGCGGATCAGACTGGTGAATGGGACAGGTCACTGTGCCGGGAGAGTGGAGATTTATTACAACGGCAGCTGGGGGACAGTCTGTGATGATTCCTGGGATCTGTCAGACTCCAATGTCATTTGCAAACAACTGGGATGTGGACACGCCATCAATGCAACTGTCTCTGCTCATTATGGGCAAGGATCCGGGCAGATCTGGCTGGATGATGTGAACTGCTCTGGGAATGAATCCAATCTCTGGGACTGTCCTTCCGGGAGCTGGGGCCAGCACAACTGCAGACACAAAGAGGACGCAGGAGTTCTCTGCTCAGGTCTGTTCTGTGAATGCTCTTGTGAGCCGTGTTACCAGGGGATTTAATGGAGGGGGCAGATGTTTAAGGAGATCGCTGAGAATGATACTCTCCCTGACTGTCTCTGCCTCCCTTTCCCTTTTGTAACTACCTACCAGGGTCACCATTAGAAAGTCCTCAGCTCCTACCCAGAGGTATTGGAGATATTGCAAGATTTCCCTAATGTTAGAATGCTGCATCTCAGGTATCTGAAGGAGACACTGGCTAGGTCTACACTACAGCGGGGGTCCGACCTAAGATACGCAACTTCAGCTACGTGAATACCGTAGCTGAAGTTGCGTATTTTAGGTCGACTTACCTGGCTGTGAGGACGGGGGAAAGTCGACCGCTGCCTTGCTGCCGCCGACTCCGCTGCCGCCTATTGCCGCGGTGGATTTCCGGAGTCGACGGCAGAGCGATCAGGGATCGATTTTATCGCGTCTTCACTAGACACGATAAGTCGATCCCAGAAAACCGATTGCCTGCCGCCGGACCCTCCGGTAAGTGTAGACAAGCCCTGTATCATGGAAACCAGCAACTGAAAAGGATGTGGGGTCCTAGTAGAGAAATAACTGAACATGAGCTCCCAGTGCCCTGTGTGGCAAAACGGGCTAATGTGAATCTTGGATGTATAAACAGGGGAGTAGTGAATAGGAGTGGGGACTAAATGTTACTGTTGTGTATGGCACTGGTGAGACTGATACTGGAATACTGTGTCCAGTGCTGATGTCCACAAAAATTGGAGAGGGAGCAGAGAAGAGCCACAAAAGTGATCTGATGAATAAAAGCCTTACGGTGAGAGATTTAAGATGCTGAATCTGTTTAGCTCATCAAAATGATCAAGAGGTAACTTGATGACAGTGCATAAGTTCCATCACAAGGAAAACATACTTACTAAAGGGCTCTTTAATCTAATGGAGAAAGGCAGAACAAGAGTCGATGGCTGGAAGCTGAAACCAGACAAATTCACATTAGAAATAAGGCCCAGGTTTTTAACGGGGAGGGTGATTAACCATCAGAAGAAACTACCAGGGAAATGCAAAAAGAACAGGAGTACTTGTGGCACCTTAGAGACTAACAAATTTATTAGAGCATAAGCTTTCGTGGGCTACAGCCCACTTCTTCGGATGCAGCCCACGAAAGCTTATGCTCTAATAAATTTGTTAGTCTCTAAGGTGCCAAAAGTACTCCTGTTCTTTTTGCGGATACAGACTAACACGGCTGCTACTCTGAAACCTACCAGGGAAATGGTGCATTCTGCATATCTTAAAGTCTTCCTGTCTAGACTGGATGCCTTTCTGGAAGCTATGCTTAAGTCAGACTCAAGTTATTAGGCTTTATGTAGCTGTTTTACAGAAGGTCAAACTATCACGCTGTTTTGAGTGTCTCACGGCACTGATTGCCCACCTCAGGGCAGATGGTGAGAAAAAGGCAATACCCCAAACTGGTGGTGTGTCTATAAGTAGATTTCACCAAGACAGTAACAGATGTGAACTCCTGGACCAATGTTCCCTCTAATTTTTCACATCCATGTGTGGAATGAATGATGTTATGTGCATCAGTATAGAGGTGATGTGTGGTGCGGTGGGGCTGAGGG